ATTGAAAAAGCTACTAAAAGTTATTGTGGATTATATTTAATAAACGTCATGGACATATAAAAATCATGTCTAGAGTCTTCTTTGTTATGACACTGTCTTTTCTACAGGTGACTTAATACTGTATTTTTTTTTAAAAAAAACACACAGAAACCCCCAGTGAAGCATTCAGCAGCAAGCAAGTGTGCAGGTACCAGGCTCAAAGCAAGACACCTGCAGATAATCTTTTTTAAGCAATATAAAATGGCAGTTTATGCTGGCATACAGCACAAGGTATAGAGTACCAAATTGCTTCCCCTCAGAAAAGAAAACTTGATTTTTTCCTGAGCTGTACTACTCATCTACACAAGCTTCCTACAAGACACATTTTTCTCATTGGTGTAAGCAAAATAGTTCTCAGAATTCTTCTGAGACAGGGAAGCATTATGAAAACAGTAACACACTTGAAATAACAACTGTGCAGGTAACTGAAGTCCCAGAACAACAAAACTGACATGAAACTGAAGAGGAATGTATAAATCCATGTGAACACACTGCATTGTCAAAAATCTTTCTGTGGAACATCAGAAATGCCCTTAGTCCCAACGCAGATGGACTCAGTTCTGTGACAGAGAAACAATGTAAGAGCATATTTTACTACACAACAGCCCCAAGTCAATACTAACAAGGCAGGCTATAATTGATGAAAGTGAGCCTACTACAACAGCTATCAGCTATCATCGTTTAGACTTTGATGTGCTTTCCTGGTGGGTGTGGTATGGAGTACTTCACCTTAGACTTAAAACCAGACTAACAGTGGAAAAAACAGCAGTTTCCTTGCATGCTGTAAAGAGAAAATGGGTGTTAATGACAGCTTTCTGCCAAAACTGGGAAAATACTCACAGCACTGCCGCCTGTTTCTCCACTCATCTTCTCTTCCCACGGTGAAGGAGCGCTCTGTCCCCACCCACAAGGACTCAGGAAAGTAAATACTGTCAGTCACCTCAGCCACAAAGAGATAAGCCCCACCCTCTCCTCAAATCAGAGGACAGTAACAACAAAAACACTTGAATACAGGACACACAAGATGAGCAAACAGGCAAGAAACTTCTGCCTAAGAATTCCTTCTACCTTGGCAATCTTTGTAGAAAAATCCTTCTCTTTACATAGATTCCTTCTTTCTCTAAAAGTTCTTAAATGCAGCATGTAGAAAAAAACAGCATCACCCACAACACATGGCTTTGCAAACAAACCTTTCAGTATCACCTCAGACATTTGTCCATGGGCAGTGTTGTGGCAGTGCTGCCCCAGCTCTCAGCAACCAGAGAGAGAGCAAAGGAGCAGCTTTCACTAAACACAATTCTCTTAATAAGTAAGGCTTTCTTTATTATTTCCTTAAGCCCAAGAGCCCTCAGCTTTTGCAGTCGGATTAAACCTACCCTGGAGTGAGTCTGTGCAGCTGGACATCCCACGTGGAATAACCAAGACATTTCCTAAATCCCTAAACAGTAAGCATTCAGTAAGGCAGAAACAGTCAAATAGTTCAGAAAGCAGGAAAGGACGGTAAAGAGATACTCACCCATGCATTCTTAAGGAAAGGCAGAAGCTGGAGCTCGCTAACAATTTCACAAACACAACCAGTGTGAAACTACGTACACTTTTTGTGGCATTTGATCTGCAAAAACTGCTTTGGAGTTGGGCTATTCTGAGACACATGCAGGTTCAGAGACACGGAAAAAGGAGGTTTTGCCTGTCCTGGCTCTAGTTTTAGGGATAACAATATCACACTTGCACAGTAGCCAAGATCCGATGTCAAATTTCAAACCACGTTCAGGCTACCTTGCTCCACACAAAGCACCTCCAGCAAGAAGTTCAAAATGCTTTTTCCAGTACTTGTACAAAAACTGCTGACACAAAGAGCTAGCTGAGGTGTGAGGAAGGTGCTTGTGCTACACATGGTTATGTCTGTCAAATCTACATCTAATTATAGGAAGGTTCACATTCTTAAACAGCATCTGCAGGACCAGCTTCTGTATTTGCCTAAGTTTTAAAAGATGCCTTTAGAGAGCAAGAGTGTTGTTAAAAGCATCTGAAAATGCGTAACAAGGGGAACTTGACTAGCATACCTTTCCGTGCTATGCTGTCAAAAATCCATAGAACCCCTAAAAAGTTATCAAAACTGATTTCCTGAGCTGCCTTCTCCTGATTGATTGCACAGCTCTAGTACCAAATCAAGATGTTTGACATGTGACATGACAGGGATGTGAACATACGTAGCACATGACACTTATGTGACATGCTCCTGAATGTATGAAGCCTGAGATGTGGTGCCACATGCTATGATGCATGACATCATACAGTGGATTAGCTCTGCCTCAAGCAGAGGCAAAACCAGCTGTGGGATTGCTTTTGCCCCCAAACCCAGGGGCACGTAACCAGTAATGCAGAGAGATGGGGAAATGCAATTTGTACTTGAAGGCGATTTGATTTCTGGGTGAGAACAGTCTGTAATGTTGAGCTGTGTAATATTGTATGCATTATGTGTACATCTAGGATAGATGGAACCCCCTGTGATGGACCAAATTAACTCAACTGACATCCTGGAGGGAGCGCCCTCAGCTATGGAAATGAGACCTGTGTTCCTATGTAAAGATGAATAATGTTCTGGTTCCATCCAGGAGAGGGCACAGCCAAGACACAGAGGTCATTCTCTATCACTTCACATCATTACCAGGGGTGGAGGAAAGGGATCCTCTTCTAGGGAAGATTTCCTTCTGGTTCAGAAAATGGTGAAGGGAGCAGTCCACTATTGTCTACTACTGGCGTTTTCCCTCCCCATGTGAACCATCGCCGTTCCCAGTGAATTGTTCTTATCCCAACTCCATGGCCTTTGCCTTTCTGCCCCAAATTTTCTACGCCATCCCACTGCAGAGGGAAGGTAAAGGGAGAAGCAGAGAAGTAGAGAGAGCAGCATGTGGTTTGGAGTCTCACTGGGGGCACGCAACTGGGAAGTACCATTCCTGAAGGTCACAGTGTGTAACTCCAGCTGTGTGAGCCAGGTAGAGCTTCCTGAGTTGGTAAGCACAGGCCCACACACCACCCCACTCCATATCCATGTGTACATCCATTCTTCCCTCTTCTTCTCAAGCAGGGAGGAGAGAGGCTGAGCTCCGCCACAGACTTCTGCTGCTGGTACTCACCTGCCTCTGTCTGCTCTGTGCCACATCTGTGCGACGCACACCTGCTCCGTGTGCATGGAACACAGCTGTTGGGAACACAGCTTCAGCCTCAGCACTGGAACTGCAGCACTCCCGCCTCTCTCAAGCTTGTAGGATCATACATATCAGAATTACTGAAGTAGCTGAGGAAACACCTGGATGCAACGTCTCCATGCTTCCATTTACTAGCTTAGTGCATGCTGCATATGCTACTACTTAACCAAGAAGAATCCAGATAAAAGAACTGGACCTACACTGGTGCCATCAAGTTACTGCTCAAGGACACAGTGATCATGTCCAGCCAAACACATCCTTTTCACTAACAAACATCTCTCTTCCTAAGGCAGCACCGAAGCTCCATGGAAACTTCAGTTTGCTGTTCAATTAACAAAAAGCACACAATAAAAGCTTGTAATAAGTATGTAATTGTGCGTATTTCAAGCTTCTGAGTCAACAACAGGAAACACCTTGGTGCCAATATTTCAGCAGAAGACTAAGTCCATACAAAAAACAATCCAGGAGTGTAGAGACTGCAAACACATGTGTGGTATGCTATGTGTATGTCAGATTTGACATGTATCTCACTTCCCATCACCTGTACGCATGAAGATACAGCTAATGCATTGTAAAGGACATTTATTGAACTTTTAACACCCCAACAAAAAGGCAACACTGTGCTCTAGCCTGGAATATGATGGCCATTCCCAAGCATATTCCCGGAATATGATGGCCATTCTTAGAAAACATTACAAGGAACAAGCAGTCTGTGGAACATGTGCCACAATCAACCAAAAACCACCACACAACCCCAAAAAGTTAAGGGACAGTAATAGAAAACAAGAGAGCACATTAGCCAAAAAAAGGTCAAGAGCCAAAAAAAGGTCAAGGACCAAGCAGTAACAAGTCAGCGAGTTTCAACAACTTGTGAATCACGATAAGATCACCCCCACAGAAGACTCTACATATCAGCTCAAAGAACAAATTAAGGAAAAAAAACACCAGGAGGAGGAACTTCTTTGAGAATCCTCTAAAACTAAGAAGGTGAAACATGACTACAGCAGTACGCTCACTATCCCTGATGTATGAGAACACTAACTCCCCACTTGCATGATTTACAGGAATCACAAACATAATCCAGGCGTACTACCTAGCACAAACACACAACTGTTCACAAGACCACACCAACTCCAAACAGGGCACTTAACAACACCTTCTCAATGCTACCATGTTCTTAACAGGACTTAATTTTAAGTAAATTCCCTTGGGACAGGCACTATTTTCCAGATTACTGTGTACGCAGATGATTCCACTAGGACTTGTGCAGTGATGAAGTCACCTTCAGCGCAGGAGTCCAACTCATCCATAAGCATTAACACTGATGAGGTTTGAGGCAACCCACAAAAGCTGGAAAAACCTTGTTTCTGGAGACTTCTGTACTACATGGCATTATTTTCTGAATTACAGCTTTGACACCTGCATAATGCTTTAAACTTACTACCAGAACCAGTAATCGTTACAAAACAGTTGAGTAGCAGCTGGTCATTCCAGGTTTCACATTTGGAAATACAAAAATTATTAACTCTTCTAGCACAAACGACATAAATAATAAGCCAGTAGGCAGATTCACATTAAAACAAAACTCTCAGCAAAGGAGGAATGCCTACAAATAGAGCACAGACGGTCCGTTTCTTTTTTCTCCCTGAAAGACGCTCATGTTAGTATGTGTTTTTTTTAAAGAAACACAGCTTTTACTAATTTTTTTTCTTTTCTAAAGTTATGAGAAAGGGGGGAAAAATAAAAAATCAATATACAGAAATCCTGAAACTATCAGGGGAAAAAACATGTTAATTTCACAGAGTGGGGATTTGTAGGAGTCAGGGTCAGTGAGCTGAAACGAGGTGGCACTGGGGGACAAAGGAGAACAAAGCTGTTGGATACTCCCACCTATGAGGAAACATCAATTTTTGGGAAAAGACTGAACTATTACAGGTGGTTTAATAACTGCATTTAAACTGACAAGAAGCAGTTCTGGAATTGTTTTCTTCCTGTAACTACAAACTTGAAGTTGAACATTTTACTACTCAGAACTCTATTTACTGAAACAGATCATTCAAATTGACTTGACATTTAATCCACCTCCATCAATCACTGAACTGTTCAATATGTGGAGACTTCACAATCCATGATCCATAACTGTGTTGTTCTAAGTAGCTCTGCAGCAAGCTTTTAGCTTCTTGGTACAACTGAGATTGAACCTAAAAGAAGAAAAAAGAAAAAACCTTGAAAAATCTCAAGGATTAGGGTTACAGAGAGGTGAGTTCTTTACCACCAACATGTTATAAGCACAAACACTGCACAAGTTATGCCTCCCCCTGTGTCAGCTCACCTTTGCCTCGTGGTATGTTGCAAACTGGAGCAGGTCAGCCCGTCCTACTTCCCTGGCGAGCATCCTGAAGCGGCTGAACATGGCAGCCTTGCACAGGCGGCTGGCCAGGCAGGTGCCGCTGCGGAACGGGGAGCTGCAGGCAGAGCGGGAAAACGGGGATGGAACTCGGGAACAAACTCACTACACGGAGATGCTCTAATCCTTACAGCGGTTCTCCCCTCCCTCCTAACACTCTGTGAATGCCATCATGCTGGAATGTATCTCAACTGGAATCCTAATTAGTTTTATGCATTGTGAAAGCTAGAACATTTTCACTACTACAGGCAATCTCCACTGAGAGAACTGTTTTGTTTGGTATCTCGGTACCTCACTGTGAACTTACAAGATCTCAAAAACTTCACCTAATCACACGACGCTTTCACTAACACGGGAGAGAATTTCTCTCATAGCTTAAAAACTGAATACTCAAATAAACCAGCACAAACCCATTATATCCAACAAAATGAAGATAAATGCTGACCTTTCAGTGGTTTTCCCACTTAATCCATCCACAACCTCCAGAGACGCATCTGACAAGGTCCAATTCAAACTAAGCGACCACTGGTTCGAATCTGTTTGGATTGGCAATGCAGCTTTCACCAAGTAAATATGAGATCTATTGACCAGGTAATGCACGGGAAGCTTTGAAATAAGTTCATCATCCAGACGCTGCTTTATGGTTATGTCCAGTCCTTTTGTATCCTTACAACTGCCGTTTCCTAGTAAACAGGACAGGATCAGTCACATACAAGCACACAAAATTAAACAGTTAAAAATGCAGATATTTCTGCATTCTTAATCTGTTGCAGTCATTTTTTTCACATAAAATTCAGGTTTGTAAAGATCAGTTCCAATATTCAATTCACAGAACAACAATGATTTCCCACTTTCTCCTCTGGAGGCACCATTATTTTCACTGAATGTTTTCTTTTTCTGAACCACTGTTTTTCACCAACTCTTTATGTTCCCTGCTAAAACAGAATTTCAACCTTTCAGACTAGAAAATCTGTTGAGGAGTTTGCCCACATTACCTCACATCCAACAACACTTCTGACTGCCTACTAAATAAATACACTTCGGTCCACTGCATCTCAGTGAACAATTCTGTAATTCTTCGAAGAATTTTTGGTTTAGTTCATGCTTTATAAAACGCAATCGAATTGGAATACAGAAACAAAGATCCCCTCCACCTGGAATTCGCACTGAACATACCCACGAGAATGTTGCTGATGTACACAGGTTCGATGAAGTGGCTCAGCAAGGCTCCCTGAAGACCAACCACCTCCCACTTGGTCAGTTTGTCACCAGCTGACATGCTGCTCACTCTGACAGTTTTGGGGGGACAGCAAACAGCCAGGTAAATCCTGCCTTCTAGAGCAACGTGCAGACTCAGTTCTTCACTGGCTTCGTAAGCAGATATAGACTGGGGACCGAGATGCCTACGGCAGGACAGGAGAATGGATTTCAGTGAGAAAGCTCTCTGATCAGAGATTGCAGTAAGCGGTATCTAAGGCCGTTTCTGAGAAAAAAATTATCAGTAGAGCTAGGCCTTGTATTATCTTCAATGTCTGTAATTCTTTAAAACACCAGACTGAGCTGCTTGAGTGCCTGGAATACTGAAATCAGTATTTAAATAGGAAAGAGCCACTCAATCTAATCTTACCCACCAGTCTAATTTTAATGCACACATCAAAAAAATCAGCTGCGAACAAGCTGTCACTTTTTGTCCACTCAAACTCTAACAGAAGTTACTTGTGAAAAAACAGCTGTAAGGTTCTTAAAGTCTCCTTTAACTCACACTGTGACTCAAAACACTTAAATAAGAAGATACAACACCTAAGGGAGACAAACCAGTGGCTGTTCTGAAGCAAAACAGTGTTTTCCCTTAGTTATAAAGGGGTAGGACATCAAAGCAGTGCTTTTTGTTCCAAAATTCAAGGCTTCTTGTACTCTAATCTTCTAGTGCATATGATGGCATTAAATCATTACATCCACTCGCTCAGTGGTTAAATTCATTATTTAATGAATTTAATGTCTGTAATAAACAAAACCAATAAACCATAACCCATATAGAAATTTTCTCTATCTTCATATTGAGCTGTATTGCATATTTATCACAACTACCCTGCACGTTAATGTTCCCAAAACAAGATAAAAATTCATCTTCCACTATATCTCGAGAAATGCCATGGCACTTACACCTCTGATTTTAACTGAGCAGTTCCTTTTGGAAGCTGGTTCATGTAGAGAGAGAGAGTTATATTTTGCTTTAAGGTAAGCAGCTTTGAGCCTGGGGCTGTGCAGAATATGGATCTCTCTGCCTTGGCTGGATTTTTGTTATAGAACAGCAAAAGATGCCTGTACAAATATCTAAAAGAAAAACAAACAATACATTTTACATTAAATACTTGATTTTAAATACATTATATATTTTATTATGTATTTATATATAATCTAGATACATATTTACATTATTATTATTATTTGTTTACATAACTACAGAATTCAAGAGCAGAAGTGAAACTGCCACAAACTGGCGGCAAGGGAAGGATTTGCAGAGACATTCCCACCTGAGCAGGGAACGCCTGGCAGTGACAATGGCATGGCTGTCATGCAAGAGCCTCCCACAGGACTCCGAGCGCCGGCTGTAGTTGCATTCTCCTGTCCCCAGAGCCACCACTTCCTGCTGCCCACCTAAAACCAGAGACGGTGGGCTCACCCGGGCTGGCTGCCCACCAAGCTGCTCCCAAGCTCTCAGTGCTCCGTGGGAGCAGGTTTCGCACTCCCCAAAGCTCACAATCAAACCAGACTTGCCCTTTTCAATGATGAAGGCAGCCAGGGAGCTGCCACAGCTTTGGTACTCGGGGTGTTGGGTAGTCAGGCGGTTAAACACTTCCTCAAGCATTTGTGAGAGTTTTTGATAGATATGTTCTCCTCCTAAATGAAACAATAGAATCCATCAAGGTGCAAATTTGCAGGCAGCAGAAAAAGCAGACATGAGCAACTCGCTAAATTATAACCCTCAGCACATGGTATAAACACAACCACACATACTTCTGGGATTCTGAAGACCCTCAGGATCAAAAACAGCTCAAGAACACCCAAATACTTGATGCTTTTATCATCCATTACAGTAACAACAGATAAAGCCCAAGTCTGATCACCTACTGCACACTAGCTCAAGTAAGGACAGAGAATATTGTTGCTATTTCTACACCTGGTGTAGACTGGTGACAGAAATTCAAGCCATTCACTGAATTCAAGCAATTTACTGAAGGTAAATTCCTTTTGTGGAACCCTCCTAGTAATACCAGTTCTTACAGCCTTCAAATATGTTTAAAACAATACTAACATGGAGATCACTGAATGTATTAAAAGATGAAAAATTTTAAAAAGAAACTATTTGCTGAGCAATTTGAATCAAGAGCGAAAAAGCAAGACCATTCCTTACCAGTCCTTGAAATACCAGCAGAGTTTCCTGGAGGTCGGAGCTCAGCAGGAACACAGGGAAAAGCTAAGAATTGAAGAACATTTTGAAGGATGGACATGCCTAATTTCTAAACATGTATCTCACACTATTTGCAGCAAGTTTCTAATTCTGAATGAACATTCTATTCTGATTCTGAAGTCCTTGTACTATCAGAATGATTCAGACAGCAAAACTCAAAAGAAGATAAAATATTATGGCAACTGAACTCTGCTGAAAGCGAGGAACCCTTTTAATCATAAAACTTCAAACCCACTTGAGATGTACTTCATGTTGCTGCACCTAGTGAATAGCAAATCAAGTGCAACAGCCACAACTTGATTCCTCCAGTATTCCTGGCATCAGCTGATGCAACTATTAATACACAAATGACAAAAATAAAGAACAGTTTCAGAACTACACCACAGATTTGCCCCAAGGATTCAAAAAGCCTGACAGAGACCAATACTGTAGCATTTTAATAAAATGACAGATGTTTTGCACAGGCCGCCGTTAAGCCAAGCATTTAAAGGCCCAATTAAGTGTTGCTACAATTGTTACCTGAATCTTCAAAAGATTTTGCCCCTGTGTTCTCCAGGTTCAGCAGCTCAGCAAGGGCCAGTTTAGCTGCATTCAATTTAGATTCCTTCTTGGTCTTTCCCAGCCCAGTCTTGTAGCAAACACCATTTATCACAGCACAAAAGGCAAAATAAGGCCTTATGACATCGCCTTCAAGGGAGAAGAAAAAAGCAAGTACAATCAGTGAAATTATTTTAAGGCACTTCTTCCCTAGCTTTATGTCCTTATTTTAATTCCTAGAACAAATACAAGACAAAAAGACAGTTTTTCCAAAGTAAAACCCTCATCCCTAACCTCCCCCCAAAAATCTGGCAGCTTTCACTTCACTCACTCCTCACAAAAGTTCTGATAACACCCGTAATTAAATCCAAGTCACCTGACCAATTTCTGTAGCACCTCAAAATGAGAAGCAGCTGTGGAGGCAACACAAGCACAGCTAAAACCCAGCCTACGAGGGAGCAGTGCAATCAACAGTAAACAAGGTTCAGCTGCATCAGCACCGTCACATCAACTCAGATACTCTCAAGGATAAGCAAACACCACTTTATTTGGCAGCAGAAGTGTTTACCTGCCACGCTTGTTTCTTTCAGTTCAAGCTGCAGCTGGTGTGTTTTGGCAAATAGGTGCAAGGCAGATACTGAGTTTATTACTCCCTGTTTGTATCTTGCAATCAAATCCAGGTCTCCCTGTGAGGGAAAGGCTGAAAATGTGGTGGTGTCAGCTCCTTTAAAAAGAAAAGGTCCTTAAACAAAATTAAGGCGAGAACAGAAAACAATCCCTGAAAATCTACTTACAATAAATGATTTTCAGATGCTTCTTAAAAAACCAAACCAAAATTTGATGGAGAGCATTACTGCTTTGTACTTAACCCTACATTAGCAACAACAGCAATTGCAAAGCAGTGTGTGCATCCTCTTTTACAAGCATCAAACCTTTCGCTGTAGTAAATCCCTTAATCTCTGAATATATACAGAGAGATATACTACAAAAAAATGCAATATATATCCCCCTCCCCTTTCTTGTAAATCAACAATCAAATCCAAGTTGCTGATGGCAGACACCAAACAGTGGAACCTGTGTTTTTTCCACACAAAGCTGAGCAGCTGCAGGACTCCTTGTTCTAAGACACTATAGAAGTTTCAGCAACCACTGGATGGATGAAATTATCAACTTCAGGGATGTGATACACCCAAGTACAACCACTTCCCAACCCACAAGTGAAAGAAATCCTCATTTTTAAGCGTCTTTACCGCAACACAACTACTCAAAGCAATTGAAAATACATCCTGGGACATCTCAAACTGCAGTTAAACACTTCACAAGTTATTTATAAAAATTCATGCAGCAGAACATAGTCTATACTTTGTCACTCTACAGTACTTTTTAACTTGAACTTCATAAGCAGGTAATACTGCTACTACATAGGCCACCCTACAACAAATAGCTAAAAAAACTTCCAAGACAAAAATACTTCAGAAGAGGAGGGACAAGTTTAAGGAGATGCCAAAGAAGTCATGTAAGAAAATACTGCAGTAAGAAAAAGCAAAGTTACTTCCAATAGCATTAACAGCCAATCCCGGTGCATAAACTGCAAACTATACCTGGATTTTTCACCACCCCTGGTTCACTGCACGTCATAAAAGGTGGAAGATTCAGCCTTGCAGTCACAGCCTCGGAGAGATCCTTTGAAAATGGTTGTCTGAGAACCTCGGGGAGCAAAATCTTCTCATGTGCGGGGTCGAAGGCGAACATCGCCGCACCCTCAAAGCAGCCATTGCTGCTCGCCATTTCCGACCGACCTAAGGAAACTTAACTCACTAACGCTGCCAGCAGTAAAAACACCCTGCAAAAACCCCAGCAGTTCTCCTGGTCAAGCCATTTCACAGGAACACCGGGAACAACTCGCCCAGGGCTGGGGTAGAACCCAGACCCGGTATCATTCCCCACACGGCGGCCATCTCTCCCTTTTGTTAGACCGCCGTCCCTCACGCCTAACGCGGCTCTGCCCCTCGAAGGACACACCAACTCCTCAAGCCAACTCTCCTGAGGGAGTGAGGCGAACTAAAGCAGCAAAGCTGATCCCTCTCAAGTTTCCAGGACAGGCCGTCACTGGAGCTGAAGGATTTCGTACCTGCACCTGCTGCCCTGGTCCTGCTGTGGAGGGTTCCCCAGCGCTCACACCCCGCGGGCAGGCGGAGCACCCCGGAGGGCACTCGAAGCTGGAGGCGCCGGGGAGGTGCCGGCCGCCCTGAGGCGATAGCCACCGAGCAGCCCGCCCGCCTCAGCCCGCCAGAGCCGGGGGCGGCCCCTCACGCCCCTTCCCGCCCTTTGGTGAGGAGCGCGAGGCCGCAGCTGTGGCTGAGGGAGGAGCTGAGGGAGCGGCTGCGGGGGTGAGGCCGCCGCTGAGTTTTGCTCCTACGCTACCGATTCGGCTTCAGCAGCGCTTCCCAGCCACCTGCTCACCTTCCCGGCCCCCTGCTCGCCTTCTCGGGCCGCTCCCACCGAGCAAGGGCGGCACCCGAAGCCGCCACAGCCGCCAGGGAGCGGGAGCAGCTCCTTCTCCGATCCCAGCGAAAGCGCCGCGTCCCCGCTTCTCGGTCGGGGGGCGCTTCCTGCCTTCAGGCTGCTTCCCAAGCTCCTGGCGCCCGGCCTCTGGGCTTTACCTCACTTAAATCACACTCTGTAAAGATACACTTAAAACACTCTTCTTGTTGCTCATCTTCCTTGATCAATGCAAAAAAGGTCCTGTACAGTAGTTAAATTTTATTACAAGTGTAATAAACTTCATGATTTTTAGCACTAAGGCAATCACAGTTTCATAAGTTATATATATATATATAATTTACACCAGTCTACATTGACAAATCAATTACTGGTCACATCAACGAGGGGTTTGTGTTATGGCAAGTAAAATTTTAAGAAAATTCACAGTTAATCTGCAAGTATTGTAAAGATGCAGGATCATATTGCACATCATAAAATGGACGCTGAGGAGCAGATTTACAGTGTTCCAGCTATTCCTTCACAGAATATACATTGGTCATCATCATCATCATGCAATAACTTCAAATACAGAATGGTATCAAGTACCACAGTAAACAGTTACTCACAATGTAAGTTTTAAATAGAGTAGCAAAAAGCTGTTAGGTTTCTCTTTAAACCATATTTAAGTTCTTAAAATATAATAAAACACTTTGATAAAATCAAATGGAGTTAGGGTTGTCACATTGTACTTTTAATATTCTTCTTTGTCTTTTCCTTTCTTTTCCTTTTCATCCTGTAGTGCAGTACCAAGTTTCTTTATAAGGACTGACAAAACTTTGTCCAAAGGATCCATGACACCACGCTGCAGCCACTTAGGGATAGTAGTCCTTGCATGGTGAAAACCCAGCTTTTGGAGGATGTAGTCAACACCAACAGGATCGATTTTTCTCCCAGTCCAGGATATTAATCTAAAAAAGCAATAAATAGAAGACTCAGTCTCAAATATATAAATATAGCAAACAGGCATTTGTATATACAAAAACATCTATTTTCCCCAGTGTTATTCATGACTAACTTAAATCTAACAGGCACTGTTTCGAACTTGATTTAGACAGATATGCTCAAGATGATGAAGGGAACATTTTCTCAAAGGAAGAAGATCTTTAAGGAGGTGAAAAATCGGACTGAAATTAATGAATTTAAGTTTACTGTAACCTAATTCAGAAGGGCCTCCAACAATGCCTTTAATCTGCAAAAATTCTAACCCAGAAGTTTATGCACAGCCAAGAAGACCGCAGCTACTAAAGATGTTTCCTACCTGAGCGTAGGTTCCAAATGCCAAGTATTGCACATAAACTCCCTCCAGTCAACTGTAGTGTAGGTAATGCTTTCTTCTGCCTCTTTGTCAGTGGAGCTGTCCTCAAGGACACCAACAGAGTTCTTCTGCCCTGGACGAGCAGCCAGAATGCGAGGAGGAAAAATTGCTGCAAAGGGGAGAGAGGAAAACCACCAGTCAGCCACGAGCAGCTCACTTGGATTCTTTTTGTACACAGTTTAAATAAAACAAAAGCACAAGCCTCAACAAGAAGAAAACCACCTCATGTGTCCAGATTTTCTGCAGAAGGCCACATATTGCTTAAGAATGAACAGGCCAAATTTGAATGCTGCAAATGAACATTAGAAAGGTAGAAAAGTAATTCCTTCTGAAATCAAAAAAAGGCATGTCTTGAAAGGACTCCACTGATGAAAGGATTGCAATAACAAGAACAAAGCTTTCTAAAAGTTTTCATCTGCCTATACCATCTTATGAAGAAAAGTTAAACACCAGGTGTCAGAATAGGAGCATGATTATGACTTAGAGTATTTACTGTCAAATAATCTGACAACTGCAGATTGTCAGACAAGGGCTACTTGATGAACAACAACTCACCTTTTTCTTTTTCTTTTAGATAAGCAGACACCAAGTCATGCAGAAACATGATCAATTCAGCATCCATGGTCACACAGATGTGGTCTGTAAATTCAGTTACCACACTGCATTCCACCTTTGGTTTAACACTTGTATCTACAGCCAGATAAAAATAGCATCAATACACTTACAAGTACATACAGTAAAACTAAAAGTACATAGAATTTTAATGCAAATCATTTGAAAATAATATTTTTCATTGAACCAGCAACTCTTGAGAGGAAGGACCACAGTTATTATTTTAATAAATATAAGGAAACCAAGCCTATGAAAACAGCCAGTGTAGCTGAAATGTTGATGTTAATTTCTTAGGTTTTTTTCTACAGCAACCAGTCTCTGCACTGGATCTTTACTCTCTCAAAATAATTCCCTCTACATTTTACTACAAAGTGTTGTCTTGCAGATCTGCAGCAATTCTCATATTAAATCCTCTTATCAGCACATTACCTTAGCCTTTAACTCCTAACTTGCGAGAAATAGTTTTTCACCAAGGAAAACCGCATTATGTTTTACTGCACCTTGTAATGAAGGCTCTTGGGGCTCCTGAACATGAATAGATTTAAAATCCAGCTGCATCCTTGGCAATGCAAAGATGGTTTCAGTCTCATGGTTGTAACTGGAGCCACCCCTGAAGCCACTTAACAAGCTTGAGCTTTTCACTGTTGTGCTGCTCTCTGGGTTGTTGGCATCAACATTCCGTAGCAGGTTCAACTCTGCAGGAACAATGGGAGATGTTAAATCATGACAAGGCAAAAAAGGTAAGAAAAGTCACTTGTAAAACTGCTGCTGTATGATTATTGAGAAGATTTTATCTTTTATTCTGCTCCCAAAAGCGTGGCCAGAACAGGTCAATCCAATTTGTTGCTTATACACTTGAGATGTAGCAGCTTTTCAACAGCTCCATCTGCAAGCAGATCACTCCCCAGACTGCATGAACCTGAGTCTAACCTTCATTCCTCGTGGCAGTCACATAATTGAACCACTCCTTCACACTGGCAACTCCGTGGGGGGGATTTTCGTGGCGGCGCCGCGTGATCTTCGTGATGGTGGCCATGGGGCTTTCCAGGGCCCCGCAGGGCTTGGTGACCATGGTGTTATGGCCCAAATGAAAGTCCAGGGTTTGAACAATGTACGTGGAGTGTTCACTGGTACCTGCATTGAAGGTGTGGGCAGCGTGGAGTGGGAGAGGAAAAAAAAAAAAAGTAAAAGCAGCTTAGTGAGGGTAGTGGAATTTTTCCCCATTCTCCTACAGGTATTTAATATGAATAATTAGTGTGCCAGTGGAATAAAACCTGGTATAAAGAAAACCCATAAATTAAATCCTCCGTAGCTACAGACAATAAAACTTGACAATATTAAGACAAATACAAGCAATAAGATGACGAAAATTCGTCATACAGCTAGAAAGAACTACGCAAATACACACAATTAAAAAGCCAGGCAATCCACTCAGTACGCTCATTATCAGGAACATATCCAATACATTTGAAAATGTACTTTATTCCACAGATAAAGCAAATTGTGGTAAAGATGTGGGGGGAACAGATTATGTTTAGGTAAGTGGTATATTTTTGGGAAATATTCTCGATTCAGACAAAGAAAACAAATTTTTCTTTGATTTATTCTTATGTAATAATACATTATTAAAAACTCATTTAAAGAAATTTAGAGGAATGAGTAAACAGTTTAAATTACCATCTTCCAAAACTTTCTGGGCTTCTGTCCAAAATGCAATATTGGGTTCTTCCAGGTGAAATAAGGCCCATGATTTTGAGCGGAAATTAGGTCCATGAAAACAAGCCAGGGTCATATGGTTGCCATGCAGGCTCATGGATCCTCCAAACTGCATCCCATCTTCTGGCAGTGGCATCTGGAACAGGGATATGTGGCACCCAGATACCACCTTCAGAACGCCCGGCCAGTGGCGATGGTGGGCTGCATCCAACACTGCAGAGCAAAGGAGAACAACAAACCTCAGGCAAGATACAGACAAAACTGCTGGCATATTTATATTTTTAGTAAAAACTGGAATTAGGAGTGATTTTTTTCTTATCTGTTTCACTGACACTGTCTCCTAGGTAATTTTTGCAATAAACACATTTTAATTGGGAATCATATTATTTTTTGGTAGCACTTACATTGCTCGTGTGAAGTTCTCTCTAAGTTGTTTGCCACTGTCTTGGGAGGGAGATAAGGAACAGGTCCCCACGTGGACAGAGCTCGCTTGCTTGTATCAAACTGCTGAGTGAAGAACTCCTGGAGTTTCATTCCTATTTTTATCAGGTCTGGCGTAGTTGACCTTGAAATCATTACTTGGAAGATATCCCATTTCAAGTCCCCATGGACAAATATCTCACTAGGTATTAAAAATAGCAAGAAAATTAGCAGTTAATATATTCCCTACTGACAATTTAAAAAAAAACCAAAACCATCAACCAAAGCCATACAATGAACCCTTTGCATTTTAACAGACACTTACATTTCTGGTTAGCAGTATTGGACAGAAGACATTTGACATTATCAAACATCATACATTTTAAACACAGGAAATATTATTACCTTTTATCAGTCATGCTCGAATCCAGATTATTATACAGATTAATTTTCCATTCATCCTGCAGTTTAAGATCAGCATTACTGAAGATTCCCATTAGGATACTGGATCCCATGTAGTCAACACGTGCTTCAGTAGAACCCATAGTAATTTCAATTTTATGATTGGGCTGTTGGTTTGGATGTTCAGAAATATGAGCTGAAATAGAACCAAAGCAATAGAGAAATAAAAAATTAGAGATGAAAATCAGTTTTTCCAGTGATATCACCTTTATTGACTGGAGCACGTGCTAACAGCAGGAGGCTTTCTAACTTACCCACCATCTCCAGGGTGTTAACATCTATGGTACCTCCAACAACTCCCCCTCTGGAGTCCAGCTGGGATCTTCCCAAGCCCACAGACATGCTGATTTCCCGATCTCTGCTACTGCCCACAGACAGACGGCCCTGACTTTTCAAACCACTGGTGGTCCACCTAG